TTCTCAATAAACCCCTTTACCTAGAAGCTGCCGAGAGCTTTTCTTATTCCTTAAACTCCCCCAGCTAAGTGTACATTTAAAGTATCCCTACTTTTTTTTTTTGAGGGAGTATTTTTAGGGTGAAGGAAAATAGCTATATAAGTACATAAGAAGGAAGAAGGGGGCATGTCAGCATTGGAACAAAAAGACATGGAGCAAACAAGGGGACAACAGGGAAATTCACTAGGTGAACAATTAAGAGACTTACAAAGATACACTAAATTCTCATTCCAAATCCCAGGCTAGTCACAATGCCAGCAATATCTAAGTCTTTTTTTTTTTAATCGAGGTATAATCAGTTTACAATGTTGTGTCAATTTCTGGTGTACAGCACAATGCTTCACTCATACATGGATATACACATATGCATTCTCATATTCTTTTTCACTGTAAGCTACTACAAGATATCGAATATAGTTCCATGTGCTATACAGTATAACCTTGTTTATCTATTTTATATATACCAATCAGTATCTGCAAATCTCGAACTCCCATTTTCTCCCTACCCACACCCCTCCCACCTGGCAACCACAAGTCTGTATTCTATGTCTGTGAGTCTGTCTCTGTTTTATATATAAGTCATTTGTCTTTTTTTTTTTAAGAAAAACTAAACTTTATCTTGATGTATTCCAAATAAAGAGAAAAACTAATATATAATCAAACTTCAAACTTTATCCACCTTAAGAAAATTACAAATCAATAGAAAAACCTATTTGCAGTGATTCAGCCACTATTTCTGTGAGCAACCAGAGAACAGGATTGTGAACATGGTGCTAATAAAATGCTCATTAAGCGAAAAGCACTAAGACGTTAAGTTGAAGAGATTCATTAAGGGCTTCAAATTACTTACCTTGAAAGTTGTTTGGTTAGATGAAGGTCAGATTTTAGTCTAACATTCTTCTTCTCTTTTGACTAATTAGATTAATAGTCAGCAGACTTCTTCCCTAAAGTACAGGACCTCACTGGAGTAGCCTGCTAAATGGTGGCAGGAAATATTTAACATAGAAGTCTCCAAGCAAAACTTTCAAATGTTTTCCTTCCAGTCCTGCACATGGCCCCTCAAGAGTATTTTTCCTTTGTGGATCAGGAGATCTGTGAAGGCAGCTGAAGTAACAATTACCCCAAGTGGAATTTTAAAGGTGGAGCAATACTATTTTTTCTCGTGGCAAAGCAATGGAACAATCTTCTGATGGGGAGAAACAAATATAGAACCCTATAAATTAATGGCATCAAATGTTTCAATAAAAATAGCAGTTTCTAAGCAGCTGCATTTTAAGAATCTCTCTGAAGGATCAAATAGGAAAAGAGACACAAATTGTTTAAACACAAATAACTGTGACAATTAAGAACTAGCATGACTAAGTCACAAAAGACAAGTGAAAAGAAACAGACTGACACTTGAGCAAATTAGGCTTCCAAGCAAGTGGAAGAAGTACTTTTAATTTTCACTGTCACAATCTAAACTCCAAAGTACAGAAAGGTATGCAGAGAAAGTGCTGGTGAGATATTATGTTAGGGTTGCCATTACTTGCATTGCATTCCGGAAGATCCCAAAGACATAACTTGTAGCTGTCATCAACTGGCAAACCAGTCTCAGAGGCTCTCCCAGCTGTTAGGAGTCTGAAAATTTTGCATGCCACCCAATCCCTTCCCCTGACTATCAGAAAACACACTACAGGAGAGGTGGCTAAGAGTTTGTTCCCTCTGCTTTAGAAATCCTTTCCAAGTATGGGAACAGCACAAATAACCTTTATAAACAATAAAAGAAAATGTTACATATCATCACAATTTTACTACTAAGACTATATACTCTATCCTTGATATTAACTTGGTAGCCAATAGTTAAATATCCCATGGTATCCCTGGGAGACTCATAGGTCCAATTTTCTGACAGTCTCTTGTTTTTTAAGCCACCCAAAGTTATTAGTGTCATGGATGTACAACTCAAGGCTCTGAAGGAGCAAAGAAACAAAGCAAAGGAGCTGAAGGCAGCACTCACTACTACTGGCTCAGTGGAATCAGACTTCTTAGGCATACCACTTTTTTTGCCCTCAGCTAAGAAAATACTGACTCAGAGAAAATACTAACTCAGAATAAAGAATACTCCCTGAACCACCCTCATTCAAAGCATCAAAGCCTACCTACAAAGAAAAGCAAATACCTTTTAAGGTTAAGGGTAACATCTTAACTTTTATAGAAGGGATAAATGAAGACATACTTAGGAAATATTTTTAGGAAGGCTCAAAATGCTAACCCTGAAAAATGGTATGGCAACTCCTCAAAAGATTAAACAAAATTACCATGTGATCCACCAATTCCACTTCTGGGTATATGCCCAAAAGAAGTGAAAGCAGGAACTGAACAGATATTTGTACATCCATGTACAAATAACCAAAACACAACAACCAAAAGGTGGAAGCAACCGACTTGGGATTTCATCACTGGATGAATGGATAAACAAAATGTGGCATATACATGCAATGGAGTATTACTCAGCCTAAAAAGGAAATTATGACACATGCTACAACAGGAATGAACCTGAAAGACATTATGCTAAGTGAAATGACCAGTATTTTATAATTTACTAAGTGCTTTCATAAACATTACATTATGTAATTCTCACAATCACTTCCCTGTAAAACAGTTAATATCATCATGACTTTCATCTTATAGATAGTTGGAAGAGGTCTAGAGAAGATAAATAACTTACTCAAGGTCACACATTAAGAGGTATAGACAAAAAATTTAAAACCCAGTTCCTCTAATTCAGATTCCAATGCTCTTTTCAATATATCATGCTGAGTCTTCTGTTTACCTCCACAGTAGCATCTGATGCAATTCTACGGAAGAAGGCATTATGGTATAGAAGAAAGAGCCCTGGACTTGGATTTAGAAGACCTATGATTAACTCTCAGCTTTGCCACACAACAGTTGTGGGACTTTCTGCAATTTACAATATCTTTAAGACTCAGTTTCCTCATTAGTAAACAGTGTACTTTTTAAAAGTTTATAATATACTCTACTTTGTAGAGTTTGACGATTGAAGAAGACAGCAGTATATGAAAGAGTTGCACAAAGGTTAGCACTTATTAAGTGAAAGTAAATATTAAAAAGGAAAAGAGTAAACTTTTGCAGGCTTAGTATCACCAATATTTTCCCCTGATCTGGCCTCAGTGTGATAAGTGACGTTCGAACACATCTTTCCAGTAATCTCTGGAAAAAACTGACTGGATCTTTGAACTTTTGCCATATAGTCCAAGTCTATTTCATTAGCAACAGTGAAGGTGATGTAATTATTCTCTGCAGCAAGTTCATCAAAAAAAGTCTAAAGAATGAAAATGAAGGTATAGGCCTGACAGAGACTTACAAAGAGAAGGAAGAGGTCATGGTTATGGGCATCTACTCAAAGCTCAGCCCATTTCTTTCTGGGCTATTCAGAAAAAGGACAGGCCAATAGCTTAAATCAGCTGCTTGATGGCCCTTGGGAAGAATAAGGACAGCATCCAAGCCAAAAGCCACTGGAAGAAAAAACAACAAAGTAGGAGATAAAGCAAGCATAAAGGAATGTGATCAAGGAAACAGACCCCAGATGAAAAGGAGCTGCCTGGAAAGCCCAAGCAAATACATGAATAAATAAACACAACATAAATTATACCCATATGCACTTCATACCGTAGCCCAGAATCTGGTGCTTCTTTCAAACACCCACATTTGTCATACTGCTCTTGGGTCACAAAGGGATATTTGGTAGAAGGCAGTTTGTAATTCCTGATTCTTACAGAAAGTCGCATTTATCATAAGGTCTTACTACAGTAACTGGTTTATTTGCTAGATGAAGATATGCATTTATTTGTGAGATTTATGAAGCTGTGTTTGCTATAAAATGTCTCTGGGGTAGGGTAAGGCAGATCAACCTTCAGTGCAATCTTGTTAGCACATCTCACCCCTATGCTCCCTCATCCCAGCCCTCCCAACACACATTTCACACTTTTTCTTTTGTTCCCAGATGTGCCAAACACTGTAGTAAATCATTGCAGGGACAGGGCATTTTACCTTTAAAAAATAAATAAATAAATAAAACAAAATAAAGCAAGAAAAGAAAGACACAGAAACAAACACTGAATCCAAGCTCTGTCACAAATTAGAATCTATACCGAATTGTATATGTGAACTACTATTATTACTGGGAACGTCTGACAAGGCATATATCTGGAGCTAATTCAAGTTTCCCCATCTGTCGGATTTGCCTCTTCTACTCAATGTTAATTTTTCAATTGTTTCCAAGAACAATTTAATAACTGTTGAGAAAATGAAAAATGATAGGCACAAGAGAAAAAGGAATGTAAGAAAAGTCACCTTTGGGTTTCATAATACTGAAAGCACATTCTCTCAATTTACAAACAGCTCACGCCTGGAGTGTGTGCTACTTTCTCAAGACCCTGAACCAACTTCGTGTCTGACTCAATTTTATCCAATATATACAGCACTCTGTAATTGCCTTGCTGTTTCATAAGGAACCTAAAATGACTTAGCCCCATGAGCTCCATTTGGCTCTGTTTACCACAAATAGAAATAGCCATGTAAAGCAAAACGTCAAAGTTCCAGATCCCCATGAGTCATTCATTGAGCTCATGGAGAACAGCAGAAAAAATTTCCAGAAAAAAGCTTTCCGATGGCCAATACACAGAAAACACTTTGGCAACAAAGATGCCTGAAAATGACTTGCAACCATCTCTTGGTAAGAAAATTCAGAGTAGCAAACACTGTGAGCTATTTCAATATGACAAAATGAAAGTCGCATGCACTCCTGCTTTTCTTGATCAAGTACGACAATTTCTTTCACTCCTACAGACATCAAGGCTTAAAATAGTAGTGGTGTTCAACACACTCCACTTAGAAAGGTACAATAAACCTCAGGATGAGCCAAGGAACTCTAAAAGAGATAAATTCTCATCCCTTACCTGATATTAACCAACGCGTGGGTCACCTTGCTAGCTGCTTCTTTCCACTGGCCTGCATTGGTAGAAAGCCTCAGGACTGTAAAGAAGGAAAAAACAAAGATGTGTCAGACCCCTGGTATAAAACACAAATGTAAGGATCGAAGACACATCTCAGAACTGTACTATTAGAATAACCAAACACAGCCTGTGCCAATCTTCTAGTTAAGACATCCTCATCCTGGAGAAAAATATAAGGGCTATTCTCAACTATTTTTATAGGGTTTTTTTTTCCTCTCTTTTTTTGTACTTTCTATCGAAATATTCTACTCCTCCTCTACCTTGGGTTCCCCTCCCTCCACTCCCCACAAACAGGTTTCCATACTTAGTTTTTGCATCCATTTAAAATCTACACTGGGGTGATGTGAGGGTAACCTGACTGCCACATTAATCATTTCCCCAGTGGCTGGGGCTGATTTAGCTGAATTGGCCAGCTGAGTAAGTGCCCCATCCTGCACCACATATAGTATATCTTTCTCCTAAAGGTTTAAGGCTGGGTCAAACAGGATAAATAACCTTGCCAGATATAGGATGGTAATGTTTCAATCAAGCAGTAACTAGTTTTAGCTCCTCTGACTTAATCATGTGACCTGCAATGTGAAACAATGGAAAGAGTCTTTCCTTCTCTGACCAAATTCTCTTTTCCACACTTATTCACAGGAGGAGGGAATGATAGAAATACATATAATCATATCCTCTATCAGCTATGAGCTTCAGGACCATACACACAGTAGCTACACTATTTTAGAAAAGAGACAAACAAGCACAAACATATGGTGGGCACTCCAAGTACATGTTTTTAATGAACAAATAAGTAACAAGCTAAATATGTAGACAGTTTACTATGTACCAGGAACTGGACAAAGGTTATATGCAATATAACATACTTACGAGGAAACTGAGACTCACAGGAGACAAGCCATTAATTGATCAAGTTCATTCATAGAGTTGTAAGCAATGCAGCTGGGATTTAAACCTGGAGGGAATGAATCTAGAGCCTACACTTATACAGCAAGTGGTTAAGAGTATGAACTCTGAAGCCAAATGTCAGGGTCCAAGTCCAGCCCCTGCCACTTACTTGAGAGTAATAGTAATACTTACATGAAAGGACTATCATGGAAATCAAAAAAGTATATAAAGCCTTGGATCAGTGTCTGGCACATAGTAAATGCTATGTAAGTATTAGCTCTCATTAATTTAAATAAACTGCCTCCCAAACAAATAAATGAATGTACCTGAGACTTTCCCAAAGGAAGGAAAGCAGAGCCTAGCCAACGTTAAGAAATCTATAACCAATCTGCGTAGCTACTTTACATTTGAGTACCATCACTACCTGCTCCTGACCAGTGTTCCTCTAGCAAGAAGAGTAGTAGCAGCAACTCCACCAGAGGGAGGGCCTATGGCTGCAATAGGGAAATAAAACTCATCTGGCTGCTCTGCATCTGTTCCAGCAATACCCCATTTTTATAAATTCGTGCAATTTTATGAAAGAGAAGATGGAAGCCTTGTTAAAACATATTATCAGAGCGCTGCTTTTCTGATTTACAAGATTTCGTGCAAGGGAACTTGGTATAGTTCCAAGTTAGAGTTCTGCGGTTTGAACTCAGGTTTCACCCACTGTATATGCAAATTTACTCATATAATGAACAAAATTGTGTCAGCAGGTCAGATGTATTTTTTTTTCAACTTAATCCAAAAACTGTTTAGATGTGTTTGTTTTCCACTGGATACTCCGCCAAATCATAAATTCTCTGATGGTGAGGATCTAACATTTATGGAACTGAGCTGAATTTTCCTCTCCTTACCTCAGAGAAGTATTTAACTCTGCCTACGGATTATTTCTCTATAACATCCTGTCACTTCTGTTCCTTAGTGAACAGGTACCCAGATGACCTCATCACTGTATTTCCTTTGGAAATGCCATAGGCTTTTACGTTCTCTTCTAAGTTACCAAATTTAAACATAAAATTATTCCAAAATGTCATAAAAACGTCAAGCTAAGGTTATCATTTATGTAGCAAATTATGGTACACAAAAATAACATACATACTATGCAGCCAGTTTAAAAAGAGACTTAAGTAATAGCAAAAACTAGAAACAACCATAATTTCCATGAAAAAAAGAATGGTTAAATAAACTATATCCATGCTATGCAAAAAGAGAAAGAGACTTAAGAAAACTACAAAAAAAAAAGGAAAAATTTTTATGATAATTTGTGTTTTCCTAACACAAAATAAGATAACATGATTACAACTATGTGAAACTATGTTTCACTATGTAGACTAATATACAACTATGAAAATAGTGGTCACACTAGAAAGATTGTAATTTTTTTCTTTAGTACTGGTAATTAGCTTTTTTTAAATAAAAAAAATTTCAACAAAATATGATATTATTTATAGCTCAGGGCAGCTCCTGTTGAGTCCATCCTATTCAGTGGATGTCACTGCAGTACATTAATGCCATAGAAATATTAAACATGTGCTTTCCTCTTCTAGCCATGAATGGAGTAACAAGACATAATTAACTCCCCTACCTTAAACAACAGAAAACTAGACAAAATATATGAAATAATAGTTATCAAACTCGGGAAAACAGATAAACAGAACTGTGATCCCTGAAGAAGGGAAACAAATAAGGTGAGCCCTACATTATCCCACCTTATTGCATGGAAAAGTTTCTGGCCTGCAGGGCAGGGAGGAGGAACCTAAACAGAACCCAGAAGTCTTGCCAAGTCAAAGTATAGAGATTGCAATTGGAAAGGCCAAAGCACCTAGAATTTGTGGGGCAGGGTACTGTAGAGGAGGGGGTTTGACAGGGAACTCTGGAAGTCTGTAGAAGGTTTGTCCTACATCTTTTGCTAAGCACTTATCTGCAGATAGAGAAGAAATTACCCAAGGCTGGGGCAAAGAACCACTGGAAAACAGAAGAAACTGTGGAGCTCGTAGAGGGCTCCACTAATTAAAACAATTTGTGTTTTTACCAGCAAGAGTGGGAAGACCTACTAATATGTGGGTTATCAGGCAGACTCTGCAGACTGGTAGTGCATTAGTAAAGCGGACAAATTAGCCCATAATAAAAGTTGCTCTCAACCTGCCCTAACAACTCTTAAAAGCAAACCCTGAAAGGATGAAACTGATTCCATATAATGTAACTGCATTCCAGAACAAAATCCAATATTATATAAGGAAACATAACAAAATCAAGCACTTATAACCTTAACATCACACTGTCCAAAATCCAATTTAAAAATTACCATCATTATCAGAAGCAGAAAAATATGACCCATAAGCAGGAGAAAAATCAGTCAATAAAAACAGATCTAGACATGAAGAGAGATGATGGAATTGGCAGACAAAGACATTGAAACAACTATTGTAAATACGCTCTATATGCTCAGGAAGACTGAGGAAAATATAAATATGATGAGGAAAGAAATGAACATTTTTTTTAAAAAAAAGTCCAAATAGAACTTCTAGGAAAGAAAATACTTTCTGAAATGAAAAAAACACTTGATAAAATGAACTGAGATTAACGAGGTTAAGAGCATATTACAAAAATACAAAAGAAAAGATCAGTGAATTTGAAGACTGAGGAATAAAAACAATCTAAAATAAAAGAGAGAGAGAAAAGACCAAAAAAAGGAAAGAAAAAAAATACCCACAGAGCTTTAGTAGCCTATAAGACATTGTCAAGAGGTCTCACATATATATAATAAAAGTTCCAAAACAAGAGGAGAGGGGACAGAAAAATATTTGAAGAAATTAATAGCCCACAATTTTTCACATTTGATGAAAACTAGGAATTCACATATCCAAGAAGCTTAAAGAACCCCAAGAAAAATAAACATAAAGAAAACCATGCTAAGGCATGTGATAATTAAAGTGCAGAAAATCAGTGGTAAAGAGAAAATACTAAAAGCATGCAGAGAAAAAAAGACACATTATATACAGAGAAATAAAGATAAGAATGACAATAGACTTCTCATCAGGAACTATGCAAGCCAGAAAATAACGAAATGACATTTTTTTTTAAAGTACTGAAAGAAAAGTTCTATATTAAGCAAAAATGTCTTTAAAAAATGAAGGTGAGATTCCACTTCCAGTGTGGCAGAGTAAACCCACTATAGCCTCTCTCCCCTGCTGATTACAGCTAAAAATCATGTATAAAATATAAAAAGTACTACCAGAGGGCTCTGAAAATTAAACAAACGCAGATTATAGAAGGGAGTCAAAACTTGGAGAAACACCCACAAAAGTGGGTGTCCAGGTTTTCTTGTTTCCAATTTTCTCTTGCAGGTTTGCCTCAAGGTCCAGACAATCACAGTGAGGCATGATGGAGGAGCTGGTAACTTCATCTTTCTGTAAGATAGACACCAGGGAAAGGGGCTTTTGCTGGTCAGAAAACAGAGAGAAAATCCTGGACAGACCAGGAGAAAGTGTTCCCCTAATTCTGTATATGAAAGTTGTGTAATTCTCAGCCACACCCCTGAGTTGAGCAAGCATGGAACAAATACAAAGTAGCAAAGCAAAACGTTTAAAAGTAAACTGGTATTTCAACTACAGTCACAGTCTCCAGCTAACCCCTGAATGATGCATGTGTGGACCAGATCCAAGAATCTGATCCACGTATCCAAGATTCAAGTATCACAGAAAAGGCTTTGAAAACTGAACTGATACTGGAAACATCACCCTCTGAATGTGAGAACTTGTAGTCTAACTAGATTGACTGCCTACGTCAATAAACTTGACAAACATGTAGCCACAATGATCAAGAAAAAGACAAGATACAAATTACCAACAAATTATCAACATCAGGAATGAAAGAAAGGAAATCAGTAAAGGCTCTACAGACATTCATGTGAAGTTAGTTCAACATTCAAAAATGAATCAATCACTATATCAACAGTCTATAGTAGGAAAATCATGTGATCATCTCAATAAATGCTAAAACTTTTGAAAAAGAATCTAACATTGTGCTTGCTTCAGCTGCACATATACTAAAATTGGAATGATACAGAGAAGACCAGCACAGTCCCTGCACCAGAATGACATGCAAATTCATGAAGTGTTCCCTTTTTTTTAAATTTTTTTGGTGGGGGGAGGTGATCAGGTTTACTTATGATTTATTTATTCTTAGAGAAGGTACTGGGGATTGAACCCAGGACCTCATGCATGCTAAGCACGCACTCTACCACTTGAGCTATACCCTCCCCCTAATATTTTTAAAGGAATATACACACACACACATACACACAACTAAATCACAATGCTGTATACCAAAAATTAACACAATATTGTAAATCAACTACTTTGCTTTACTTCAATAATTAAAAAAAAGAATCAGACATTCATTAATGAACATAACTCTCAGGAAACTAGAAACAAAAGGGAATTTATTCAACCTGATAAAGGTTATCTATGAAAAACCTATAGATAATGGCACACTTAATGTAGAATAACTAAATCCTTATACCTTAAGTTTAGAAACAAGGCATACATATCCACTCTCACTACTCTAATTTATCAGAGTACTGGAGAGCCTATTTCACCAGTGAAATAAGGCAAGAAAAAAGATACAAAAGGCATACAGATTGGAATGGAAGGAATAAAACTTTTATTCATAGGCAACTTTATTGACTACACAGAAAATCCCAAAAAGGTTACAAGAAACTACTAAATCTAAAAAGTGAGTTAAGCAAGATGATGGGATAAAAGGTCAAATTCAAAAACAATAATGTTTCTATATATTAGCAATGAACAAATAAAAACTGAAATTGTAAAAAATACTATTTATAATAGCATTAAAATCCATGAAATACTTGGAGATAAATTTAATAAAACATGTGCAAGATTTGCATTCTGAAACTATAAAACACTGATGAGGAAAATCAAAGAAGACTTCATTAAACAAAGCGATATACTCTGTTCATGGATGGTAAGATTTACTAAGATGTCATTTTTTCCCCAAAATGATCCATAGCTTCACCATAATCTTAATCAAAAGTCCAGTAGATTTTTGACAAAAAACATATGCTAAAATTCATATGCAAAAAGTAAAGGACCTAAGATAGACAAAACAATTTTGAAATAGAAGAACAAGGTTAAAGGACTCACACTACTTGGTTTCAAGACTAACTGTAAAGGTATAGTAATCAAGATAGTGTTATATGTGAAAAAATAAATACATACAACAACAGAACAAAGTGTGAGGTCCAGAAATACACCTACATATGTAAGGTCAACTGATTTTTGACAAATGTGCCAAAGCAATTCAATGGAGAAAGACAATCTCTTCAACAAATGGTGCTGAAACAAGTGAAAATCCATATATTAAACATGAACCCCAATCCAAACCTAGCAGTATATAGAAAAATTAACTTAAAATGAATCTAAGACCTAAGTGTAAGGTGCTAAAACTATAAAAATTAAAAATTAAAATTAAAAGATAATCATTTTATTCTTGGGTTAGAGAAAGATTTCTTAGATGCTACACAAAAATTAAATACCATATAAGAAAATTTATAACTGTATTTATCAAAAATTAAAACTTCTCTGAAAGACAATATTAAAATGAAAATACAAGCTACAATCTGGGAGAAAATATGTGCAAAATACATATCTGAGAAAGGAACAGTGTGCAAAATATACCAAGAAATCTCACACCTCAAAAATAAGAAAACGACCCAGTTCTCCTTATAGAAGAATTCTAAATAATAACATATGTAGATACTCTCCCTTCAAGGTGGTACAGCTTAACCTCTCCCTCCCAGCCCCAACTTCCATACCATTGGCTGCATTTAGTGACTTGCTTACAAAGCACAGAGCATGGAAAGGGAGAAAAAAAGCAACTCTGCAGAGGAAAAACTTTGCAAACACTTCCTTAACCAAGTAATCAAGATTAACATCACTAGTACTGTCATGTTAATAACATACACCCTTGATGTGATTAAAAGGCCACTTTGACTCTGTGACATTCTTTCCCCAAGCCATAACCCTAGTCCAACCATGAGTAAGTCATGAGACAAACCCAAATTGAGGAACAGTCTCCTCAAAACTGTCAGGGTCATGAAAAACAAGGAAACATTATAAGAAACTGTCAAATAAGAAGAGACTAAGGAGACAATATGAGCAAATATAATGTGGCAATGGATGAGATCCTGGAATACAAAAGGGACATTAGAGGAAAAATAAGTAGAATCCAAATAAAGTCTAGAGTTTAGTGTATTTTTTAAATTGTGGTTAAAAAAAAACTATCATAAAATTAACCATCTTAACCATTTTAAAGTGTATAGTTCAATGATGTTAAGTATATACACACTGCTGTGAAACAGATCTTCAGAACCTTTTTATCTTACAGAACTAAAGCTCTGCACCTATTAAACAATTCCTTTTACATCTTCCCCACTATACCCTGGTAACCACCATTCTGTAACCATGAATTTGACCACTTTTGATACCTCACATAGGTAGAAATCTTTTGTGATTGGCTTATTTCATTTACCATAATGTATTCAGTAATCATCTGCACTGTAACATGTAGTAAGATTTCCTTTTAAAGGCTGCATAGTATTCCATTATATGTATATACCACATTTTATATCCATTCATCTGTTGATGGATATTTGGGTTGCTTTCATCTCTTTGCTATTATTAACGGTGCTGCTATAAATATGGGTATGCAATGTACGTTTTTTTTAACTGGCAAAAGATCTAAACAAACCCTTCACCAAAGATGATACATGGATGGCAAATAAGAGCAGGAAAAGATGTTCAACACCATTACTCATCAGGAAAATGCAAATTAAAACCATAATGAGACACTGCTACACACCTGTAAGAAGTCCCCTCCCCCACCACAAAAGAAAAGCTAGCTAGGATATGGAAATATTACAACTCCTGCATATTGCTGAAGGGAATGTAAAACAGTACATCTACTTTGGAAAACAGTCTGGTGGTTTCTTATAAAGTTAAACATATACTTACATAATATCCCAAAATCCCATTCATAGGCACATATTCAAGTGAAATGAAAACTTGTGTCCACATAAAACTGTATACAAGAATGTTTACAGGAGCTTTATTTATAATCACTAAAAACTGGAAACCTCCCAAATGTCCTTTAACTGATAAATGGATAAACTAAGCCAGCATATTCCCTCAATGGAATATTATTCTATAATAAAAAGGAATGAGCTACTGATACATGCATCAATATGGATGAATTTCAAACAAATTACTATGTAAAAGAAATCAGACTCAAAAGACTGTATTGTATGATTCCATGTAGATATATATTTTTAGAAAAAACAAAACTATGGGGACAAGGAACAGATCAGTGGTTGCCAGGTTGGGGTAGGTAGAGGAGTTGACCTCAGGAGCACAAGAGGCGTTTCTGAGATGCTAAAACTCTTCTATATCTTGATTTTCTGTAATAATTACATTTATATATGCATTTGTGGAAATTCAGAACTGTACATTAAAAAGGGTGAATTTTACTACATATGTAAATTATACCTCAAAAAATCTGACTTAAAAAAATGTTTTTTCCACTAGAAGTTTCATAATTCATACAAAATGGAGAGCACTGAAACACGCTATCTCCTACTGTTTGTTGTGTTTCATTTAGTGAAATTTCACTTTCCTATTTGTGCTTTCCTGGTTAACATTTTAGTTCCCTTGGCAGATTTGAGCATTCCCAGATATCCTCTTTTATCTTGTTGCTGTAGCTACAAGGGCTTATCTCATTTGACTGTGTGCATGGCCCAGTTGAGCAGATAAGTCAGACTTCTATAAAATATCTCCTCCACTCCAACTCTTTTTCTTTTCCTCACTGAAAAGACATCTTTATTCATCTGTTAATGGGTGTGAAAACCTCTGCAGCAGCTGTTCACCCTCAAAAAATTCTACATTCTCAAAAACAAGGACATTGGTAAAGCCAGGTAGATGCAAACCACACCAGGGTACACTGAGCACACTGCACCAAAGGGAAGATTGCTAGAGGGTTCTCATGGAAGACTTCCTAGTTCCTGAAAAAAGAGAGAGAGATGTGCCTTTTATGACAACAGGAGTTGTTCTTAAGGAAGCTGACCTGATGCTAAAGCTATTATACTGAAAATAAGAGAGCAGAGAAATAGAAACCAAAACCTGGGTCCTTGCAAACACTGTTGAGCAACTGATCACATAATTCTGGAACTGTTATTCCTTAGAATTCTTGTAAAGTGAAATAATTATCCTATTGTTTAAGATAGTTTGCCAGAGTTTTTTGATACTTGCAGTTGAAAACATCCTAGTAACACAAGGCCCTACTCCCACTGCCTAAGATGTCACAGCAAAGCTATACATGGCGCTCTTAAAAGTTTTCCTCTACTGCTCTAAACAAGTCTTTTGGGGGGGAGGGATAATTAGGTTTATTTATTTATTTATTCTTAGAGGAGGCACTGGGGATTGAACCCAGGACCTCATGCATGCTAAGCATGCACTCTACCACTTGAGCTATACCCTCCCCCTAAACAAGTCTATTAGAAAAAAATTTTTTTTCCTTCTAGGCCATTCTTCTTTCCCACTGTTAGCTTCTATTCTTTCTCTTGGTACTTGTTCCAAATCCCCTCTACTTTTCTCATGATACTTTTCTCAGGAGCCCAAGCAGAAGATGGGGTTTTCATAAATAGCCCCAACAAAAGGATAAAGCAAACTAAGCCACAGTGACTGAAAGCAGATCAGTGGTTACTCAGGGATAGAGGGGTGAGGGATAACAGGGGGTAAGAGGGACATAAAAGGACATGAGGAAATTAAGGGGAGGGGATGGATATGTACATTATCCTGATTGTAATGACAACTTCATGTACATATACATATGTCAAAACATCAAAAATTGTATACTTTAAATGAGTGCAGTTTACTATGTATCAATTACATCTCAATAAAACAAATAAGTAGTTTTTTCATAGCTTTATTGAGTGGCTTTCTGTTTCTATGCAATCTACAGAAATCCTTCCTGACCTTTCAAATTTAGGTAGGTTTGACTAGACTCTTCACTCACATTTACAGGTATACATGATCTCCTTTAGAAATTAGTTACACTTACTATGGCTGCAGAGTAAATCTCCAGTGAGCCAATCACAAAAGGCTTGCAAGAAAAATTTTTATCTAATGCCCACTTTCTCTTGTAAGTTATACTAAAAATACACAGGTACATTAAAACTCCTTAAAACCTTATGCCTTCTCAAATCACACAATGTTCCTTTGGGATCCAAGCTCTTCTATTTGCTGCTGTCAACTCCCACCCACTCTCACTCCCATCTCACTGGCATTCACTAAATCCACATGCCTCCCTATTCTCTCTTTCACAGACATCAAGAAGGCCCACAGGGCTGCTAACCAGCTTTCTACTAAGATGAATTCTGAGTTCCTGAACGCAAAGAAATCCACATATACCTTCCTATTGTCTGAGAAAAGGAGACTACTATAATTCTGTGGCAAGCAAGGGCACTAAACAACTAGAGGAGAATCTTTTGCAGTCTTTTCCCCTTATATGTCAAAAAGTCACAGCTGACGGGGAGAGAGTAGTAAAAAGAAGACAACTTACCCATGGAGTAGAGGTTGTCAAAGCTCTGATGCATGCGGATAATCTCATAGTAGAGTTCATCATAGCTGCTGGGGGTGGGCAGGAATGTATCGCCATACGTGATGAACATATTAAATAGGTTCACAATCTAAAACAGAAGCAAAAGTCCATATACAGGCACCACACCATGAAGACCAGAAAAATATTATCAGTAATATGCTGTAGCCAGCTTTTATTGTCTTATAAGAGCTAATTGTTAGATTTTCAGAAATTCTGTGAGCTGGTTATTAAGCAAAGCTATTATTAAAAATTAATTTACATAAACTTATAATTCAATAAATTATATTAAAATAAAGGTAATAAATACTCAAAACTCATCACTTCCTAATTATTTTCTACCTTTTAGTATTTAGTATTATGCTCTTGAAATTAATTTATACCTCATACATCTCTGTGGTGGGAATATCATATATTGGTGTGTTACTGCTTAACTCTTCCCAACTCTGCATTCAACGTATCATGATAACACCTTGAAAATGGCCATCATGGGTGTAGTTTTATCAAGGAAATCAGCAAATTCCACAAATCAAGGCTTTTCCCTTGATATTAAACATTTATGAACACACTGGGCAACATCCTAAGAAGACAGTCAAAAGGCCCAATGCCTCCCTACCCTAAAGAACAAGTCAGAGAAGGTACCTATAATGTCCCTCAGAAAGCACGAGCAGCCATGAGGAACTACTTACTTGCTGAGACATCGCTAGAGCTTTGCTAAGTACCAACACAGAGATTACAGTGGTCTAGTACAGTCTCTCAACTGGGACCAAGGCTCACGATTCATACCCAGAGATCTGACCTACACCTGCTCCTGCCAGACAATATACTCTCACAAAAGAGTCCCAGGTTCTCCAAAGACATAGGTGAAAGTGGGGAGTGCCAGTGTAGAGATTCTGACCCAAAGGGAAAAATAAAGGCCTGGTCCCCCGCTGTGTCTTAATCCCTAGAACACCAGCACCTGTCTCAAACCGGCCCATCTCTGCCTTAGGTTATGGCTTCAGAAAAAGAAGTATTTTTGTTGTTGTTGTTACTCACCATAAGAGCTAATGTAAAAATGTTGTGTTTGGCCAAAAGTACAGTCTCGTTTGACATAAGGAACTTCAGCAAATTTATCAAGGCTTAAAAAAGAAAGAAAGAAAGACATCAATAAGATATTCAAAGCATAATCAATAAAGTTAAATGAAAGTAGACTAGCTCTATAGAAAGCCAAATAGGGCTAGAATGAGTACATCACAGCTACTAAGGACTTTTTATAAGCAGGAAAAGTAGGTATATTTGAAGAAAGCACTAACCTGCCCAAGCACATATCTGCTTATCTGCCATAGGTTTTTAAAAATCTACTTTTTGCCTCTTCTTAAATATCAATTAAACTCAGAAATTTGCCTATAAAATGGACACTTGAGTGTTCCAAGTTTACTCCTATATGGCAATTTCTCCATCAAATTTGCTCAGTTAACTAGTCAAAATGAGCGTCCCCTTCTCCCTTTAGGCTGCTAGCATCCCAGATCACCAAGTTTTAGCTATGTATATATTTCCAACATCATTGCTAAGAAGGACATCTTTCAATTCTAACTGGTCAACAGATGAGCCAATTATACTGTAGAACCTACTGCTTCAGCTCTGGATGAGAAACGAGTTCATGAAGGAAAAAAAGCCCTCAACTGTTTGAACTATTCAAACAAAAGTGTAGCTTGCTCTGTCCTCTCTCAACCGTGACAACATTTACTGAAAAGGTCCCCTTTCTGCCTGGCAATCCTTAATGAGGGGAGAGAGTGCTAAAATCCAAGCAATCTCAGTAAAGACACTGACTGCCAAGTCCCTAGGTCAACAGTGCAGCTTTAAAGACATTTCTGCAAATAAATATTAAGCATAAAAGAAATTATCAGTTACCTTACACTCTTTCACCCAAAATCACAAAATAAATTCTGCTTCTATGCCCATCATGAGTATTGCCCCTGTACCTATCTCCCCTGCTTGATGGGGAACTACAAAGAAGGGGTTCAGCAGCTGCAAGTAACTGATGGTCCTTTTGTCTTCTCCCCCTCAACCCTCCCTACTTCCACAGACACAAAAAAAGGCTTGACCTCTCTTTTTCTAAGACCGTATCTGCTTCTTTGCCAGCAAAGAAGTCCATTCTCCCATGCTGTCTGAGCTTTGTGTGAAGTTTACTACTCTTAGAGAAGAGATGTGAGCTTTGATTTTAAACAGCAGGGAATGATGAGTAGGAGTAAGTCTCTCCAGACACTGGCTGCCTGCCACACAACACCCCTCACTCTCAATCCTCTAAAAGCACAGGTACAGTAAAGAAACAGCAGGCAAGGAAAAGTACAAGAGCTTGTCTACATTCTGCTTCTAAAGCCTGAATCTTCCCTTCAAACAGAAAAAGAAAAAAAAAAGTCTTGTCAGGGATGAAGGAGGTAGGCATCCTCATTTATGAACTCTTCACCCCAATTCAAGGTCTCTGAGGTTTCAAAATGGAAAGGCAAATGATAGGCAGCTAGCCCTTTTGATGTTGTCTGTTAACAAGTGATCTACTGCACTGGACCCAAAAAACGCTCCATGGGAGCCCGTTCTGGATCACAAAACCTGCTTAGCTCCTACCAGGAGCTCAGAGAATGAAGAGAACTAGCTAAAATCCACATAAAAATGACTACCCAGCCCAAACCTCTCTCCTTAATGAGTGAGGTCTGCCCACTCCACCCCCTAACCCCAGAGCTTAGACAAGCCTTGTTAATGGATAAATCACCTGACAATCAGACCTATAAACCCACAGGAGACAAGAGAAAAGGATAGGTAACACATGTGGCACTCTGCAAAACATAACGGCTAGACAGAGACAAAGCTCCTTTTGCACACATCCAATCAACAAGGGCTTTTGTCCCCAGCACACACAGCACAAAGATGCAGCCACAGCAGTGGTTATGTGGTAATTAAGAGGCAGAAAACCTAGAGAAAAGGAAGTGAGAGCAATGATTTATTGTTCCTCTGCTGGACCAGAGCTAGTCTTGATCTCTGGGATTCAGAGTGGGGGATGACAAAGTGATAAATATGAGGGGAAGAAGAGAGTAATTCTAGCTCAGGCTCAGAGGCAGCCTGTGTCCCAGCTGCCACAGACATCAGCAGAGCCACACAGTATTGGGAAGTAGAGTCCAGCACTGTGATACTCAGAGAGCAGCGTCAGGAGAAACCTGCATTCTGCCCCTGACAACTGAGGTCAGATGCATGGTTCCCCAGTCCTACCTTCCCAAAAAAGCCAAGGTTCTCCTACCTGGAAGTCATTATTCTCTAGAAGGAATTTAATAGGCAGTTAAAATCGACAAAGCAACCTTAAAATTGGTTCCCACAACCCATCAGGGACCACAATTCCTCTTCAAGAGGGAATGCCCCAAATATCCCATAAAACAGTGCTTTTTTCCTCCATCATCTCTCTGATTTTGTACTCATTCTATCAACTGTTCAGTGTGCTATACACATTACTACACACATTTTTTCCTATCCTCTGACCTGCTGTGATGAAAGTTCAAAGTCTGTGAGGCTTCGACATACCCGATCATAGATTTTTTGAGCTAGAAAGGACCTTAGAGGTCATTCAATACAATTCCCTTATTCTGGAATTAGAAAACATCCCCTTTCCCCCACCACCCCAACTATTTAGTGACTAAGCTGGGACTAGAACCTGGTCTCCTATTTAATGTTCCTTCTACCATTAAACAAATAAAGGTGCTAGACAGAATCAAATATTCAAGGGAAGGAAACTTATAAATGGTGTGCTTAGACTTGCTGCCTATACGATCACAAACACTTCTCCAGACTCTGGTTTATAATTTTCTTGGCTGCTCCACGGTTATTTTCATGTATTTGGTCCCCTTCTTCTCTTGGTCCTCAGCTACTTTATTAGAGTACAGGTATTTAATACCTCACTATTACTTTTCTTCTACTCTCATCACTTAAAAAACTCCCAGCAGCTTTTCTCAGCATAAACCGCCTCAGCAGGCCCTCTATATCCGCTCTCATCTCTCTTCACATCTCACCTTTCACACACCTCTCTCCTTTCACACACATCTTTCCCCCTTTCTGTTTCTGCTTCCTCTCTAGTATCTTAAAAACAAACAAACAAACAAAGCCTGCCAACTAAAACTGTTTCTATTTCCCTCACTCAGGGTTGCCTCCTTTTTAATTATGTACTGAACATGGAATATGATTGGATCTGGACTTCAAGGGGAGCTAAGATCCCCTTTCTTTATGCAAAATCAGAACCAAAACCAAAACATGAGTATAAACAGTTAATATCCAGGCTTATTCATAGGCTACTGTGGTATAAAGCTAAGACCAGGTTTAACTGCAGGCCAAAGAAAAGCCTTGTGTCAGGGGCAGGTTCAAGGACTTTATAGAACTGGTACCCAGGAGCTCAGTGCCAGCACACATGTAGCACAGAGCTCATGCTGGCTGGCTTCTGGCTCACGGATACTCTCTATACACACCCATTTTTAGAAAACTGTCCTTGATCCTCTTGTCCACTTGGTGCCATATGGGCACATGACCAGCCAAACTGTTCCAAGGACAGTCTCAGAAGTAACAGTACATAGAGGAAAGAGTTAAGATAACTATAAAAGATAAAGGGTTGGTTGTATAAACATAGTATTGTTCATTAGTCATATGTCTATAAGAGTTTGGTATCAAGTACAATACATGTTGTAGTCACTGTGAAGATAAAGGGGCAGGATATACTCCTTTTTCTCTTTAGTTTAACCCTTTGGTTTACCATGTTTCCAATTCTTAAATAATAGTTTTTAAAAGGAAGCAGAGGGGAAGAGACTAACACAAGCTCTTCCTCACTAAAGACACAACCCTATGAGAGGCTTCCAAAGAAAAAGGGCCTATGTTATAGAAACTCAGTACAGTATAAATTGTTTTGCCCATTATGTGAGCAATTGCTGTTCATCCCATAAAACAAAATGGCACAGTTTATTGCAGAGTATCGTTTAAGATGAGGAAAGCTTGGTGGTTGAGACCTTCCAGGCCTTTAAATAGACACTTCTCAGCAGCCCCCATCCTCCACAGTCTCAGGAGTAGGCTGCCCCAAAACACCAATGAGATAGATGTAATATATAAAGAAATTCATATCTTCCTGAGCGACAGCTCCAAGTCAAGAACTGTGCCAGAAGCTCACACAAAGTACTGTTGTCCCAGCAGCACTATTTACAATAGCCAAAACATGGAAACAGCCTAAATGTCCATCAACAGGTGACTGGATAAAGAAGATGTGGTATATTTATACAATGGAATACTACTCAGCCATAAAAACCGACAACACAATGCCATTTGCAGCAACA